TTGTTCTTCCTTTTATTTGTTTTTTCATCATGTCCTTTTTTTAAGACTGTTTATTTCTTCTTGTTTTCTTTACTTCTCAGCAGGGACAGGACATGGGTTTTGCAACCCTGCAGGCACCAGCTATGCTGCTTTAATGCCAAAGCAAGTACTGACACTGAATACTGTCTTTTCCTCTCCCTTCCCTGCTCCTAGAGCTGAGGAGCCTGCTTCTTACCTGCAAGCAAAGGGCCATCCATGGAAGCATCATCTGCTTGAGCTGGGAGCTAAGCTGATCTCGACTTTTTTTTTTTTTTTTTTCCCTTTCCTACTAGCACCAAACCCAGAGAAGCACTCAGTATCAGCTCCCTGGCTCTGATGTTGGGGGGCTCTCCTAAAGCTTTAGGAGAACCCTGCAGCCCAAAGCAGCACAAGCCCTGGTTGTATTGGGGAAAAGAGGATGGTGTTTGGTCTGCTGCTGCTGCTATTTTTGATTGTCATGTCCTGATGCTCTTGAGCAGAGAGATGATATCATGGTTCCTGTGCTCCTGCTTTGAATTCAGATGAGGAGGTGAAGCTGGGAGTGGTTGGATTCTTTCCTAAAGCTTTCTGTTCTAAGGCTCCATCTCAAAAGAAKGTGGAGGACTCCAGGCAGTATTGACACCACTCCTCTGACTTCCCCAGCTCCAAGATACGCAGGTCCTGAGGCTCACAGCTTACTTTGGTGGATGGATTGGTTATGTGTGGCAGTTGTAGCAATCTTTCTTGCCTTATCAGAGAATCGTACCGCAGAGTTAGAAATCACACTGTAGTGTTGCTTAAGGTTGTGAAGTGCMTTGGCACCATGAAGATCCATACATGATTTGCTTCCTATACCTGTTGCTGCAGCTCCAGCTGTTGCCAGTACWGCTGTGCGAGAGGGCACATGGCTGTAGGCACTGCAGATTGCTGTTTATACCTCTCTCATTTTGCTTTTTGTTTACAGCAAATAGTCCTTCTTGTAGTAAAACACCCGAGAAAGCTGCAGTAAAAATGAGCTGGGAAGTGGCATGTGAAAGGCAGATGGAGCCTTGCTCATGCCAAATTGTGCCAGTTTGGGTGGAGCCCTGAAGGAGCAAATACCATTTTAGTCAAGAGTTCTTCACCCARGAGAGGAKTTTGGGGGTTAACCAGCCTCTGATRAAGAGGGAGAGSCTTGTGAGGAGTCTCCTCTGACTTTAAGAAGGATAATATGCCATTCAGGATGGGGATGACAGGTGCCTTGCTCACAGACACGGAGCCCAAAACCACACCAGGCGTCATCATCCCTGTGTGCCAGGAATGAAGGCTAAGATGTGTCAGGCTGCTTTCTGGGAAAAGGGCTTGGCCGTTCCTGTCTGCACCGTGATTGCAGTGAAACAGTCCCCCAGCTGCCTGGCTCCCAGTCTGGAAGTAGAGCCCCATTCCCACCACCAGCCCCATTCCTTGAGGGGAAGGATGGGTGTGGGAAAACAAACACCATTCAAAGCCTGTGGTTGGGCACTCGGATTGCCTGCCTTTGCTTTCTCAGCCTTCAGCATGGCATTTCTGTGGAGAAACACCACTGGCATTCCTCATACAAGATGCTATTGTTGCAGTAAATATTTTGTGCTTGTTTTTAAATAAACTCSGGAGCAGAGTCTTGCTCTGCTGCCTCCCAGGAGAGGCTGTCGTGCTCTGGCCCTYGGTAACAAAAGGCGACTCCATAATGGCTGCTTGTTTGTGCCTGGGAATGAAGCTGGCCTTTATTCCAAAAAYCTTCCAGGGTTTTTTTGTGGTTTGCTGAGATCAGGCCAGTCATCGCTGCCCTCTCCCCCGTCTGGCTGTGCATTCCTGCTGCTCCCTGTGCACCGGTCGCATCCGCTGTGCTCCGGTCAGGAAGCCACACGTGGTGCACATCTTCTTCCCTCCCCTCCTTTCCCTCTTGCTGTTTCCTCACTTGACAATGGTGCTGGCTCTGATGAGGAGCTGGTGAAGTGAGGGCAGGATGAGAAGTGGGAAGCCAGGGACCTCGCTTGACAGTCCAAGGTCTGCACAGCCTGCCTGGGGTGGGAGTTCAGCAGGTCAGGATGGGTTTTATTCTTTTGAAGCTGCCAAAAAWCCCAGCAAGAAGCAAGTACAAAGGTCACTGCAAAACTTCTCTGAAACAGCAAATGTCAGTGTTTCCTCTGAGTCTCTTCTATCAGTTGAGGTTCTCATTTCCTAGTTTTCAGAGCAGAGCTTTCCTAGCCACTACTGAGTCCTATGTTTTCCCGATGGTCTTGATACTAGAAAAAACATTTTTTACAGAGAGAGCAGCCATTCATTGGAAAAACCTCCCCAGGGACATGATAGGGCCTGTTACTGGAGGTTTTTGAGATATAATTGGGCAGGGTTCTGGATAGTCTCACCTGGGTTCTCATCATTCTCACAAAAGGTTTGACCAGGTGATGATTTGAGGTCCCTTCAACCTGGGCTAGTCTGTGACTCTGTGATTCCCTGGCAATATTTGTTCAGCCCAGAAGGTACCTTCAGTGTTTATTTTGAAAAAAACTGAGAATAAAATCTATCCATGATGACCTGGTCATTGGGATCCCAGCATCATGCTGCTTGGTCTCCAGATGTGACTGCAAAGCTGCATTTGCTTGTTGCCCATCTGCCAGGGTGGTTAGCACAAATAGTGACTTCTCAGATGTGGAAATGACTTGTGCCTGCTCAGCTTTGTCTTCTGGTACAAGCCGGAGTGGCAAGAGCTGGTTCTTGGGCATTAGCAGCTTCTGGTGATAGTGAGCAGWGCATTTTTTGGGACACCGCTGCTGMTATGTAGTTCCTGTGAGACAGCAGTTATGCAGCGTCTGACAGTCTCCATCAGTCTCTCCGGGGCTTGGCAGGTGTCCAGCAGACAGCCTTCATTGTGCAGGATTTATTCATGCCTTCCCACCGCCTCCAAGCCCTTTGGGGCCCCTCACACAGCTCAGCCCACTGCGTGCCACACTGTGTCCCTGCCCAGCTGCCACAGCTGCTCTACCTCATGTCATCCCCAGCCATTTGGACAAAACCACCTCCTTCCACTTCAGGCAGACCCGCAAACCTTTACCTGCTGGCCGTCCTTTCTAAGAAACCCACCTGGGARGTTTCTTTTGCTCATTTTTCCATTCTTTTCACAACTTCACCTAAGGAAGTGTCTCATCCCCCCTTGGGTAGCTTCAAGGAGCACAGCTGCCTGTTGGGTTTTCGTGGCCCCTGGGTGCTGCTGAGCTTCCTTCAGAACACATCAGGAGGTGCAGCTCGCGCCTCCGGCCCTTTGCTGACAGTGTTGCTGCGAGGATGTCGGTGTGTCCGGCTGCAGCTCCCATCAGGTTTTGTGAAGAGGGGTTTCCTGCGGGGTCAGCGTGCTCCATTGTGGCACTTCCCTTGCAGCTGGCTTCCTCCCTCCTGCAGTGCCTAAAAATAGAGAGCACSGTGCCGCTGAGAAACACCGGCGAGTCCCATTGCCGGCGCTGCTGGGGCAGCGTTTCCGTCACTGCCTGCACCAAGGCAGCCCTTGCACCGGCGCTTGTGCTTTTGGGATGCTGGTGGGTTTTGTTTTAAAGGGCAAAGAAGCAGGAGCCACCCTTTCCCAAGTCTGAGGCATCTGTAAGGGACTTTTAAACAAGTGCAGATCATTATCGTGTGTCTGGTGTTTTAGAGGAGGGTTTCTTTGACTTGGCTCTGTCTCAGTGTATGGCCTTTAGACTTTGCACTTGAATTATCAGAAGATTGTTTAAAAGTTACAGATAAGAAAAACCTTAAGCATCAAGAGCATGTACAAACAGTTTTATTCTTGAGCTCTGTTTATATGTTAGGGCTGTTCCTAAAGGAGAGGTGACAGTCTGATTAATAACTATAAAACATTTTCACTCATAGCAKAAGAAAACATTTCATTGAAGGGATGTGTCTCCCAACCACTCTAGTAAAATTCACTGTGTTGCTGTTACCTCTGGGATTCTCCATGTTCTTTTATCCTTATCATGACTTTTTTTTTCCCCCTCAATCTCCATTAAATAGTGACTGTAGTCTTACCTGATTTGTAATTATTTGGTTATTTTTTCCATCTCTCAAATTGCTTTTGAATGGGAAGTAAGATCTACTTAGAGAGTAGTAGAACCACAATACTTGAGAATACTAGTTAACCAAAAATGTTCTAAGTGTAAGGGATACACCAGGAGAAAGCTATGTCAAATTTAACGGAGTTGGTATGTTTGGCTGAGTAATCACTATGGCTTCTCCAGTCTCGTGGTTGGTGAGACYATGGTGATTACTCAGGGCAGCAGACTTGAGCCTTGAGCTAAGCTCTTGTTTCCTGAATGAATAAACTTTTATTCCTCTGTTTTCTGAACCACTCCCAATGCCTCATTTCAAGCTTTGAACTAGTTATGGCGCAAGTTGTCTGTGCAARTTCAATAAGTTAAAGTAAAAAATGCTGTCTTTACAGTGGAAGAACCTTTAACAAAAAAAGCATCCTATTTTATTAAGTGAGATGCTTAAGCAGTACTTTCCCMTTGGTTTTGTAGTTCATCTGCCTTTAAAATGTTAGCCAGACAAATATTTGTATGATGTTTAATATAAATAAACCATGTGCTTTACTGTTTATTTTACAAGATATGCYAACTAATCATTTTCATCTCTGCTTAAATATTTAAAACAGCATGCCAGGGGAACTCCCTGCTACAGCTCTGAGGATGCTGTAGAGCCCTTGTYTTGCCTCCTAGATCCTCTGTCTAGTGCTTCTCTCAGCATTTCCTCTGATTTCAGAGGTGATGGAGTTATTAAAGTTTCGGTGTTGGTAGCTTCAAACACTTGGAGACCCAACTCATCTAGGCTGTGTTCTGTTATATCTGCTGCCATCTCTACTCACACCTCCTCAGCCTTAATTCTGCACATCCATAATTATCTGCCCCCACAGCCAGAATGTCCTGGGGATGCATGCTGGACGCTGCTGGACCAAGCTCTGCAGTAACATGTCTGCCTCTCACTCTCCCTTACAGGAATCTACATCCTGATCGCAGTTGGAGCTGTCATGATGTTCGTGGGATTCCTGGGATGCTACGGAGCTATTCAGGAGTCTCAGTGTCTTCTGGGAACGGTAAGAGACACAAAGCTTTGCAAGTCACTTGGAACCCTGTTTTCCCTGCTGGATGGCACGTGGCTGTGCTTCCCTTGCTGGGGTCTTTCCCAACAGGCAGGGTGGGAGGATATGTGAGCACGTAGGTGGGAACTGGGTGACTTCTGCCATGAGCAAGGCAGCGCTGTGTGCCTSAGGGGCCACAAGAGGCACAAGGGGTGAGATCAGCAGGATTTTTAGARACTCCTTCTCTATTATATGTGAACCCCCACCTTGCATTTTCCCCCCACCATGGTCTGTCTGTCTTACCAAACACCCACTAAACCTTCTTTCTTACCTGGTGTCTCCTACAGCTTCTCCTCTCACTGTCTTTTAAGGCTGCCTGTAGCAATTCTAGTTCTTCTAAGGAATCATCTACTATTTTTATCTGTTTGGWCAAGGAAACAGCAAAGACTTTCCATAATTTCTTAGTGAGAACATCTAGGTACATCCTGGAAAATTCATTACTGAAGTGCTACAGGCGTCCTTGATGTGAGGCAGCAGCTCAGGATTCCTGGCACAGGGTGAGCTTAATTGGATGAACTGTAGCCACACCAAAAGCCTTTTACCTTGGGGGCAAGCGAGACCCATTTATTTAAAGCAAGTTCTCACATGTGGTTCAGCTTTAAACTTGATGCCTGAAAAATAAAAAAATTGGAATGACTTTCCAGCACTTGGCTTCATTGGACTGGAGGATTTTTTGGTGGCAGTGTAGCAACTCGTGGGTGTGGGCTCAGCGTGGACAGAGGGAAACAGAGCTGCTTTCCCTCACTTTTGCAGATGATCTCAGATTGCTGCTGATTCCCAGTCATAAGGGGATGCTTCTCCCCAGAGTTGATAAAGAGTTTCTGAATGTCTGTGGATGGGAGCACCAGCAGGAATCTCCTGGCTGCTGGGAATAGGAGGAGCCTGCCCACAAATCTGRCAGGGGTTGTTGCAGCACAGTCTGGCAGCTTTGGATTTTTGTTTTGTTAATGCAAGTGATTACAGACCCCGAAGTACTCCTCGCTCCCTCTTGAAGTTAGAAGGAGGATTAGAAGGGCAGATGGTACAAGATACCTGAGGTCCGACAGGGAAACCGGCTGCTTTGGCTGAAATTAGCATCTCTRGCTGCCGTGTACTGCCTGTGTTTGCTCACACCTTGGCTTGCCAAGAAAAGCCTGGAGACGCCCCATGAGGATGCTTTCTGCTGGCCAAGGCTCCCACTGTGTTCCAAGGACATTTCCAGGCAGTGTCCTCAGGGTATTTCAGGGAAGCAGCCACGTTCCCCTTTCCAGCACCAGCTGAGGGAGTGATTTGGGGCTTACTGCAAAGGGGACAAGTACGAGGAAGCTCCATGCTATCAAAATCCTGTGCCAAAGGTGGCATGGAAACTGAACAGCAAGACCTGAGGAAGACAGAAGGGAGCCTCTTGGCACTCCCATGGGCTCTGCTCCCTGGAGATGGGCTGGGACACAACCAGCGGCCTGGCCAGGAACACCACTATGTTCCCATAGCACTGAGCTGCATCTCTTGGTGTTCTGCAGCCAACTTACAGAAGAACTGAGTCTGCAGCAAGTTGTACCTCCAAATCTGGGATAAACAAACCATCCTTCACTGCAGGATGACTGCTGCAAGAGTGAGCCCTAGTGCTTAAGCAGACTTACAGTGGCATTGCACCCACAATTTAGGGTGATGTGAGTCCTTGGCGGGKATGTGGAAACCCATCCTCCAAAAATGTTCCTACAAAATCAGGGATAGGTAGATGTTTASATAGGAGTTGATTGTTCAGGARCTGGACAAGGATGTTGGAAGTACTTTCCTGCTGTCAGGTTAGGTTTTGTTTCYATTTTGCTGATAACCCTTTGCTTTYGCATGTGAGAGCCAGGTCATGAAACTCCTGTTTCCTCTGTCGGAGAAAATGTCCTGAACAGAGACTGCTCAGGAGTCAGGGGCTGTTTTCCCACCCTATACTGTAATTTTGACTTTCCTTGACAGCATTYACCTCTTTTGCTTCTTGACTCTCATGGTAACTCCCACTTTGGGGCTTTTTCTCTTTTCCCATCACTGAGTGATGTCACAGAGGTGATGTTGGCTGCATATGGAGCATTCCTCTCTGTGGCTTCTCATGTGACCCTGATGTATGAGTTTACCCATTCCCAGTCTAACAGACCAACTATCACATGTTCTTGAGATCTAAACAAAAAGATGGAGGAGTCTTGGGGAGGTTGGCAGGGAGGACTGCTGGAATTGCACAAACAGGGTGGGACTGTGGGAAAACATCAGTGTTAGTATTTATGCAAAAAGCTGCAGTAGCCTTGCAGGGCTGTGGATGCCAGAGAGCTGGCCATAAATCACACCCTGACACCACCAGCTCCTCAGCAGCTGAAATGTACTTTTAACTCTGTACTAGCAATTCCTGTCCTCAGAGCATTTGTGGCAGAGCAGAAACCTTCTCTGGATGGTCCTGTAGGTGTGGGAAGAGGAGCAATGTGCACAGGGCACCTTYATCCCTGCCAGTTCCTTTGTGGGAAAGGCTTTGCAATTCCTGCTCAACCGTCCTAATGGGAAGTCTGGGCATGGGGTGGCATGTGGTGAGTCAAGGAAAATGTGTTTGGGCTAAGTGCACATGTGAGAGATAAAGTGGTTTGAAGGCAGATGACACCTTGCTCTGATCTGTCAGTACAAGTACTGCTCCACACCTCTCCCTACCTAATTGCTGCAGATACGTTAAAGAACCCTCTCTCAATTTGTCTTTGCAGTTCTTCACTTGCCTGGTGATCCTGTTTGCCTGCGAAGTTGCGGCTGGAATTTGGGGTTTTGTCAACAAAGATCAAGTAAGATGACTCTGCAACTTGTGTGTGTGGGACTGGGAGGCTGGGCAGAGCCGCAGCAGGTCCCAGCAGGAGCTGTTTTGTTCACAAACTGCTCCCAGACTGAGTAACAGGGCCTTGGATTAGCGGTGGGACTTGGGCAGGCCACCTCACTCCTCTTGGCCGGGCTGGTGAACTTTAAATGTGGGCACCTGACGATAGCAGCTGCCCCTTAGGGCATGCAGTACAACGTCTCAAATAAAAATAGCCTGTCTCACTTGGGTCTCCTCCGTGCTGCCAYACTGTCAGTCACAGAGGGAGTTGATTCATGCATGAAGTTGTGAAGGAAAGCCATCTGCACGTCCTCAGTGCCAGGGAACAAAGAGCRAGCCCAGCCATGTAGTGCCAAAGGGAGGGAATACCGTACAGGGAGAGCCTGCATKAACAGGATTGCTTGGTGCTTCCTGCTCTTCTCCAGTGTCATATAACCTGCTTCAGGCCATTTGTCAGCCAGCACTGGGCTTGCTGAGATCCATATGCTGTGCACACATGAGGGGTACAAGTCCTGTGTCTRTCCCTGCTAGGGACTGCTCAGATAAGGTTTCGTGGCTGGAGGGGCTGAGTTAAAGGATAGAACTGAAAATGGCAGCTTTTCACCTTCTGTTTCTGCTGCCCTTCCCTTCATTATGGTCACACGTGCTCACCCACACAGGCAGTTTGGTGTCAAAGTGCAGAACTGCCCGTGTATGGAGCCATGGCTGTGCTGCAGCAAGCAGCGGGCTGGGTGTCAATCTCTGGCATCAGGGRTTTGGAGGAGAGAAGAGGACTGTTTGTGCTCAAAGCCAAGGTTAGGCTCTCTGGCAGAGTAGGAAATGTGTTTGCTTTACTAAGAGATGTAAGCCAGCTGTGTAAGTAGGTGCTGGCCTGCTCAACTTTCACAGCCATGCGGGCCATGGCTYACAGGCTCGGCCTGAATGGGAACACCCTTGTAGTCATTCAGCAGGAGGGAGCATGACTTCACTGGAATAAACTCTTCTGTGGCTAAACATATTATAATGCAGGCAGGGTACTGTTTCCTAGCAACTTTGGTGAACTAATTAACCTTTGCAGAGGGGCTGTGCCTCCTGCAGATGTTAGTTTGTGAATCCTGAAGAGTCCAAGATGKGCAACTGCAACCGACAGACAACAAAAAAAAGTGAAGTATGCGTAAGGAGGGACCCCATGGTTGTTGTGTCCCATCCTGGGAAGAAAGCGCTTGGCCACCAGAGCATAAAGCTGAGAAATTTAGGATTTCCTGAAACAGGAGTGATGACCTCAGCCCTAAAATTAATTTTGCAGTTTAAAATGAAGGATGACAATCTGTTGGTATCAGCTGGTTTTGCAGCCTTGATAATGAAGGGGTTGTCTTGAAGTCCCTGCTCAAAAGGCAGACTTGCTTCTCCCTGCCCTGGTTGGGAGCAGCASAGGCTGGGAGGGAAGCACTGAATGATCCCAGCCACTGAGAGCTGCTTTCAGCAGGGACACTTTACCACAAAGCTGGAGGCCGTCTCTCCCTTAGCCTGCCTTCTTGGAGATGCTTTATATTTAGAATGGGGAGGCAATAAATAAGGTTTTTACTTTTTTTTTTGTGTGTATATGTACCAGAATAAAATGGTTTGATTGGAGAATATRTCCTCCAAAGCAAACTTTTTTGAGCAGTGATGAAGGAATTCTGGGATAATTGATTGAAATCGTGCATCTTCTTTGCTGCAGTTTCTTTTTTTCGTATGCTAATCCAGCCTGTGCTGCCATGAGCAGATGTTCTAGAAAGCATTTTCCCTCTCTTGCTTTTATGTTTTTCATTTGCTTCTCTTGCATGTCCTCCTTTCATCTCTCACAAATTATTGAAGGGTGTTAGAGAAGTCACAAGGCCCATTTCCCTGAAAAGTAGGAGTTTTTTGCACTGTGGAGCAGAGCCCCATGGGTGGCTCTAGTCCACCAGCCAGGTGGCACTGCTACAGTATGGATAAAGTGTCTCATATAATCACTTACAGGACAGTGATGCCCAGCTCCAGGTGGGGACCTAGGGAGTTTTACACCCATCTAAATGCACCTARGCTCCCTGACCTGAGTGAACTGCCTCACAAGGCTTTAATGTTTCCAATCTCTCCTAAATTCCTGCTATCCCCTCCGAGCCATTCAGTAAGCTGAGGTGCCTGTACCTACAGACAGCCTTGCTTGCTCACCCCACTTCCTTCCAAAATTTCCAGCGTGTCCTGCCCCTGCAGCCTCAGTGGGAAATGTGTTGCCTGCCTGCTTTGTCCATGGGTAGTTTGAAACAAGCCATTTCTGCATTCCTGAGCCCAGCAGCACATCCATGTAGGCTGAAGGCTATTTCAAATCTTGTAGCTCGCCCTCCAGGCCTTGGCTGTCTTTTTCTGCTACAGAGTGCCCTTGGCGCCCTTGGATAATGATGGTTGGAATCTGCTGGCTGGTGGATGAGGTTCTTCATATTTGCTACATCTGGAGGGGCTTGAACCCTATGAAAGACAGGGCTTTTTTCCTGTGYCTGTGCAAACAAATGGGGTTCAAATCTATTTAAAAACTGCTCATCTTACTGCAAGTGCCATTAGAGGGAACCTGGCYTTCAGGCACATCTGCTGGGTGGGTTTCCTCCTGCTCTGGATGAAAGAGAGTTTTTCCTGTCTCTTTCTTAGATAGCCAAAGACGTGAAGCAGTTCTATGATCAAGCGCTTCAACAAGCACTCATGGGAGAATCGGATGCAAACAACGCCAAAGCTGTAGTGAAGACCTTTCATGAAACGGTAAGATGGTGGTGGTAGTGCTGGAGAATTAGTGATGGAGGTCAGGAAAATGGATGGGAAAAGCAGAGTCTAAAGCAGGTGATGCTACGTGCAGGTCTTAGCCTGTCATGTTTGCTGTTCTTACATGTCAAGAATTAGAGCTGGCTCTCTTCAATATTCTTTCCATCACATGGTGCTGGGAAGTCTGGACCAAACACTGATTAAGTTGCTTTTTGTTTATCTCAGCATCCCCAATTTAAATAAAGTTCAATGGAAGAAGAATGTAGCTCTGAGGAGTTAATCCTGATACTTGGTCCATTCAGCAGGAAACAAAATCTCTGGAGAGAACCCACTGAATCCCTGGGTTCACTCTCTTCCACGATGCCCATGCCCAGTCTGTCTGGGTCTATTGTTGGAAGTAGCGGCATTCTGCGGAAAGAAAAAAGTTAGTTTGGTGACTTACTCCSCACCCTTGTTTCCCCCTCCAAGACACCTCCTCAATCTTGAGTGGCTTCAAGAATGTGTAGTGGTAGGGAGAGCATTGCATAGGTGTTTGCTGTCTGCTAATGCTGGCTTTCCATTGTTTCTTCTTTCCTTTCTCCCTGTAGCTGAACTGCTGTGGTTCTGATATTGTAACAGCGACTTTCACTCCTGTGTGGAGGGATGACCTCTGCCGAAAGGACTCCCTGAAAAGCTTTTTTGAGGTAGGCACAACTGCTGCAGGAAACCTCAGCTGCCAAGGAAATTTGGGGATTTATTGGGAAATAGATAAAGAGTAGAGATTTCATTTATTTGGGGATGGTGTAGAAGGATGTTGAAGATTCCCATTTGGTTCTCCTTTGCTGTTCCTGCTTGAGGGGACTGGGAGGTGCAGAGGGGCAAAATCTGGTTGGAAGTCCTGGAGCCAGGACAGGATGGTGCCAGGGACAGGTGAGGGGAAAGCAGTCTGCTAACTGGTGTGCTTCTCTGCTTCAGAACACTAATTGCCACAAAAAAATCGATGAGCTCTTCTCCGGGAAGCTCTACYTGATCGGTATCGCTGCCGTCGTGGTTGCTGTGATCATGGTAAGTGTGACAGCCTGGTGGGACAGGGAGACACCACCTCAGGGCACCCTGGCYGTCTTCCAGCGGGGCTGGATCTGTSCCTCTCCTCTGGATGCTCCTGCAACTCAGCCTGTAGCATGAGTCCTGTGTATCCCAGAGCTCYGGAACATGGCGAGACTAAGAGCTTCATCATTCCTTCGGGAAGTTGGAATGTTAGGGGAGGCACCTGGCAAGCTCAGTATAGCAGGAGCACCTGCAAGCACATCCAGCAGGGCAGAGCACCACTGAAACCTCCTTGCTGCCTCCAAAACCATTCATTCCACAGGCTGCCGTGTCGCTGGGGTCTGCACTGGGAAGGGATTTGCTTGCTTTGCTATGTTGAGTTTGCTCCTTAGTGAGGGGCGGATGGTGCGGGCTGGTAACACAACATCTGTGCAAAGCCTGGGCTGTGGTGCTGGAGRGATCCTGAGGCTGTGTAGCCAAAAAGCTTGTCAGGTACTACCACTGCTGCCAGTGAGAGACAGGAGAACAGCCTCACCTCAAATTAGCCAGCTCCATATGAAAACAGTAGCAAAGATTTAGCATCCCTGCCCTTACCTCTGGCCCAAGGGTGTTAATGTGGAGTGGGGAACCTTGGGATGGGGGGAGCTCCTGTATCGTGCTGGTTGTTGCCTCAGTGGTGSCCTGTGTCTCGTGACAGATCTTCGAGATGATCCTGAGCATGGTGCTGTGCTGTGGCATAAGGAACAGCTCCGTCTACTGAGCCGTGAGAGCCGGGCAGGGGAAGYGGGGAGTAGGGCGGACGGCGCTAGAGGGGACCCCAAGTGCCACCAAGTGACCAGGAGACATTTCAACAACAGACAAAGAAAACTATGTATATAAATGCTTCCAATATTACCATACAGTACTTACACCATTTTTATTTTGAAGTACTTTTTTTTTTTTTTTAATAAATAAAACTTTCCCGTATCTTTGTGGCTGAGTTAGTTACACATCAGTTTTGTGTGATGGGAAAGCTGCTGTAGCAGGAGATCAAGTCCTTCCTCCCCCTTCCCCACCCTCAGTAACTCAGAAGTAACGTTGGTGGAAGATGTATGGAGGACAAGGCTGCAGCCTGGTCTCAGAAAACTTTGCCTTGGTTTTACCAACTTTTTTAATTGGATGCTGAAGCAGAGTTTAGCATTTTTGTTAATTTGTACTCATCTTTTCCAACCATCACCCCAGCTCCCRGTGTTTCCAAGCTGTCTGTAGGGAAGCCTGGCTGACTGCCCAAAGCCTGGGAGAGAGTAGGGGATACATCGCACCCAGGCAATGGAGACTGTCCCAGGAGAAAGAGGCATTGTTCTTCTCCAGCCTSTTTCCATCTGTAGGTCAGTCCTTAACAGAAGTCATGCTGAAACTTTTTTACTCTCTAAAGAGTAAAAATGTTTTTTGGTTTTGTGTTTGATTGTTTGTTTTCTTGGGGGTATAGCTTTATAAATTGGCTCATTTCCATTGATTCATTACGTTGAAAGGTCAGTGGCTGCGGGTGAATTTTAGTGCCAGTTTTTCAAATATAACAAACTGAAAAATACTTTTTTTAATGTCCTTCAATGTTTCATTATAGACATATTTCAAGGAGAGTCTAGTTCTATACCAAGTTTCCACTGTTAAGCTAATGCTCATATAGAAATTATATTGGAAAAAGAAGAAAACATAAAAAAAAAGGTCCTTGACTTTAGAAATCCTGTTTTTATGTACTGCAGGATGACGCTTGGGTGTTCCCAACCATATGCATACATGCTTAAAATTTTGTCTTTGCATCACTCTCTTGTTCAGTGAAATTATCCTTAATTATAGCATATTGTCACACACTATAATATTGCTGAGAAATTGTCATAATTGGATAGTGAAAAAAAAAAAGTTTATTTTTAAGATCTTCCAGTTATATTAACRGCAGATCAGCTTAGAAAATCAAGGTAATTTAGCATGTTAGATCGCACCAGTTCAAACACATTCTTGTGATCTGGTAACTTTGGTTATCACTTTGATACTTTTATATGCCACTCTGTTACCATGTAGATAGAGGGGGAGAGTGACCCAGGAGCTATGTAATAAAATCAGAGTGTCACTAAAAAGATGATCTATATGTATAGTTCTATAGATATATATTTTTAAGCAAAGCCTTTTCCTTAGCCGTACAGGCACTTGAGATAGAAATTATAATATCTCTCAGYTCTTTGCCACCTTGAAGCAGGTAAGGGGAGGAGTTTAAATTAGTGATCACTATCCCCAATTCAGGAGTATTTCTGTTTCWTAAAGTATTTCAGTCTCCCCCTTTGTCACAACAAAGTGCTTCAGATCTGATAGGGAGGGAGATGTGTGATGAGCAATCATTTTAAATCAGTATCTTGTCCACTGCATGTGGCTATCATGGCTGTTGCCACTACAGGATGAAACATTCCTGCACTGGGGCAAACTGATCCATTCAGAAGTTTTTCTTCCCTTCTACTCCCCCCTTTCCTCTTCCTGCCTTTTAGTATATAGGGCCTTTAAAAAGTATATAGGTAAATATATATAAATATATATATATATCAAGTTGTGCTGGGTAATGAGGAGGAAGTGCTTCAACAGATCTTCATATTGAGGGGTTGGACAAGAAACGATTCAGCCTTAGAAATAGCCTTAAAGCAACACTGCCCTGAATGTCCATGTTGTGCACATGAAGAATGAGACGAGGTTTTTGCAGTAGGTAACCCCTTCCCCTGCTCCCCAGCGTAGCTCCTTCCGGTCATCTACTCTGTTATGTGGCCATATGTATATGCATCATCCAAGCATGTGTGTTTACTACATCTATGTGCATCAGGATTGTCAGCATACAGAATGGATGTGTAACTTGCCACCTTTTTTGTTGACTGTTGGTAAATGTGTATAAATATGCCATTAAACATTTCAGTTCTGTTTTCTTTTCCTTATACTGTATTTTTGATATTGTTCAGTATTCAGTTGATGCTGTGTATGTAGCTGGAGCTCTGTTTGAAGACAGACTGGGTCTCAGTGCAGGTCAGGTGTGTCTTCAGACACTGTACTTCAAGAGTTGTCCCAGGCAGGAGCAATTGGAAGGAAGTGGTACTTGGAGAGGGAGTTTGAGAGCTGTGAGAGGAGGAAGAGCAGTAAGTTGCTCAGACTGTGTCCCACAGGGGCTGCAATTCACCCTCTGGCTCATTTCAGAGGCTCATTTGGCTTGCCATTGTGGAGAGCTCCAGAGGCAGTTTCCTGCTGCTGTGGCTCCTCAAGGAGGGGAACAGCTAGAGAAGAGCCATGGGAGCAGGGGCAGAAGGATGTTTGCAGAGAGAGGACAAGGCTTTTTTTTTTTTTGAGTTATCAGCTGAGTCCCCACACTCCATGGAATGGTCATCAGCTGGAGGGSTCAGCCCTGGGAGAACAGAGACAGAGAGGAACCATCACGCTTAAGAACAATGAAGCAGTTGAGAAACTGCCCTTCAAAAAACGACCCAGTTGGGTCTCCTGTGAAGCTGGACCTGAGTTAACAACAAGAAGAAAGGGACCTTTGAAGGGCTGAGAGGAAACACCCTATTGCAAGCCCTCAGGATCCAAAAGCCACAGGGCTCTTCTGCCAGTTGGTCAGTSCCAAAGCTGGCTGAGGTGAAGGGGGCAAACCCACTCGGGACCTCTGCTCTGCCCCAGTGCCTCTCCTGCACACCTGCACCTTTGTGTGTGCAGCATGGCACCCTGTACTGCTCCTCTCCACACCCCTTTAGGAAGAAAAGGATGAAATTGCAGGCTGTAAATAGAAACCCCTCCCTCTCCATGGAAGCATCCCTCCTGGAGCTAGTRGCAGCTGAGAAAATGTCTGTGAGCTGAGGTGGGGACGAGGAGTGTCAACTGTCCAGGTCTGAGTTCAAAGACCGCAAGAAAAGGTCAAACAGAGCCGCTGACAGCTTAACTGAATGCTTGGGATTTTTTTCATACTGTGGAGCATGCCACAAAGCAGTGTGTTTAACTTCTTTCTGCCTTTTTTTTTTAAAGAAATGAAACAAAAATCAATTTAATAAACATTTCTCATAGTGTGCATAGTGTGATGAACTGCTGCAATTTTACAACCAGTTAACCTTAACACCAGGATGCTTTGTGAATCAGGCTTCAACAGCATGGGTTTTTACAGCCTCTGGGAGGGGGCCTGCAGGCAGGCTGAGTGTGCATCCAGAATGGTGCTGAGGGAAGGCAAAAAGGTTGCATGCCAGTAGTGGTGGCTGCTGCAGTTGTGCCCCCCTCAAGGGAAGGGGCGCACAACTTTGGGGAGCTAATGTGGATTGCAAAAAAWACTGTGCTGAAATTCAGCAGAGGGGAGGCTGTGGTGGCAGTACTGCACACATTCGAGGGGCTCCTCCTAAAGTGACCAAAAACATCTCAAAATGCTCTGTGCTGCCATCTGGATGGGGACTGGGCTGGTCTGCTTTTTGTGGATGGTCTGATAATGTCACCGTGGCTGCCCCTGCCTGCCCCTCTGCACCATCAGGGGAAAGCCTGGCTGGGAGCAAGGTGGGAGGCCGAGTGCTGTGATCCCTCAGTTGCCTGCCTTCCTGTGTCCTGTCGTGGACTTYGTGCTGTGTTTGAAGCAGCAATGTCCTGCGGCGGCTGCCAGCCATCGCCCGTGCTGGCASAGAAAGGGAGGGGATGTGGGTGAGGGACAGCAAGGAGGGAGCACAACCTTGAGCTGCTGCAAGGAAAGGCAAGCCCTGCTCCCAGCAGCTGTGCCTGTGCTATGAGATCATGCCCATCTGTTGTTCTTTCACTTGTTTACCTGAATGTTAACGGAGTCGGACATAATGACTTCTGGAAAGAAAAAAAAAAGTGATATTTAAAAACAATAAACAAAAAAAAAAGAAACTAAGCAATTCCCCCTTGTTAGTGGATTTTTAATGATGTCTTGTCAGATTGTGTTTCCTTCCATCGTGTACTGATTTCTGCCACGTCTTCCACGGGAAAAGGCTTGTCTCATTCTTGTATTCAAGCAAAATTTGGGCTGCGGGGAATACCATCCTCGGCTGACCCTCTAGGTGGTTTCCCATGAATGTGATGCTCTTTGCTTCATGCCTTAAAACATTTGGATTATGRCACTGCATTGTTGCTCCAGATGGGGATAAAATTATTCCTGCCTCTGGAGCTAGGATTAAGCTGATGTGAGTCACTGTCAGACCCAGGCTGGTGTTTGAGGAGGAGGAACAATAGTGGAGAYTGACTGGCAAAGCACAACATGTATCTGGCAACCAGGGTGTGTGCCTTGGGACCTCAGCCTGGAATTACAGCTGGGATCTTAAAACTTCCCTGGCTAAATGCAGTCCCCCTTGTTTGCACATCAGGTCTGGGTATTAGCATTGGTGTGCTAGAAACAGATGAGTTGGATGTGATACTGGRAGGGGACTGGGTGAACCGGGCCCCTTTAAGGTTGTGTGAAGATATGGGTTATCCTTGGAAAACAGCAGTCCTGCCATGTCAGAGCATGTGAGGCCACATGGATAACCGACTGTAAGGGGAAGGGTGCRTGGAGTGCTTGCAGCATGTTTACACTTCTTTTTAACATTTTTTTCCAGAGGTCTGATGGACATGGAAAGTCACTGGAGGCCTTACTGTGGAATTCTAATGCGTAGGAATGTGACTGTGAAATCTTTTTTTTTTTTTTTTAAACTGGTGAAACAGTATTTTTGAGGAATTAAAAATACAAGCATGAATTTTTCTAAACTAGACCAAGCCAGGATTTTTTTTCCAGTGGAAATTCTTTTCCTCCTCCCTCTCAAACTGGTTYATTTTTTTCTTTCTTTTGAAAACCTCCTGGAGTGTTTCTAATGAGAAATTTTGGAGGCATTTTTTGCTTTGGCAAGCTCTGTTTCGTAAGCTTATTCTGGGCTGTTTGTTTTCTAAGTAGCAATAAGCCTAATTGTCTCGTACTAAGACAGCTGYGATTAACATGCATAAATTGCTTTTGCCATTCCCTAATCAGAGGCTGTCGAAGCTGTAACCAAGAGTTGCAATATTCTCACAGGAGGGAATAAATCCAGCCAGTTCTCCCATGGCAGAGTTGTTTGTGGTGGAGGCTTCTGCAGAGGAAAGTACYTTCAGTGCTGGGTCTGGCTGCACCCTCCCTCTCCCTGATGAAAGATGAGTTAGAGGGTGKCTGTGCTCACATTCCTGCTCTGAACCAGTGTTTCCTTTGCTGGACATGACAGCGTGGCCCTTCCAGTTGTGGGGGGAAAGATGACCCTTTCAGCAATCTCAATCACTGTCAGGGCTGTGGCAGCACTGGGAACTGTGGCTGCACCGGGGCATTGGCAAGAGTGGAAATACAGCCCCCAGGGGAAACATCTGCTACCGGTGGGTGCTGAAAGGGAGAGGGAAACAACTCCCTGACCAGYGGTTAATTAAGCTGTACACAGGCGAGGAACCCCAAGTCCCATATGKACCATGCTGTGCACTTGAACTAGACAGAGGCTGCACATTTTTGCCTGACCACTTCTCAGTTTCAGCCTGGGGAGCATCACATTGCCTTGCACAGGCACAACCTAAGCAGGAGGATGCAGAAGTGCTGTTCAGTGCCACCTCTTCAGCTGACCTCTGGCAGCCTGATGCTTTCACTTCGGTGCCCAGGGACCTGGAGCAAACAGAAAACACCTCCCAGGTGCTAAAACTGCTGCATAACTGAAACCCACGTTGTTCTCACACTTGCAGACACATTAGAGAGTATATAAACTTTGCAACTGCTGCAGGCTGCCTGGTGTTTCTCACTGGATTTAGATGACCCAGCTCAAGTGCCAGTGGTTGCAAGTAACACTTCTAATTGCAGTTTAATCACACCTTTTTTTTTTYYTTTTTYTTTTTTYTTTTTTTTTTTTTTTTAGTAGTGTTTTTGGCCCTGCTTTGCTAGGGTATTCCCACATGCCAGAACACATCTTTGCAGATACTAAGAGGTGTTGGTATCTGGCCAGGCGGGATGGCATGCACACAACACTCTGCCTGCTGGCTGCAAGTAAACTGAGATTTCCTCCAGCAAGAGGTAGTGCTGTTAAATACAAGGCCCAGTGTTGGTTGATGGAGCTCCCATAGGTCTTGTTGAAACAAGAGGTCTGGGGAATTTTAGCATTCTGTGGGGTTTCTTTGTTAATGTTAACTTTAAGGCCCTCAGCTGGTTCCAGTGACCTTTTTCAGCATTTGATTACTGCATTAGTATCATGCACTTTGGGGCATAGTGATAGGAAAAAGGTAAAAGCAGCAAGATTGGGAGAAGGTGTTTTTTAGTACAAATATTCTGTAATTAAATCAAAATGAACAGACACCTCCAACTGTTTTTGTTTCTTTTTAAAAATTCAAGTAATTGCAGAGAGTATTCATTTTGCTCATAAAGGACTTCAGTTCCCTCCCACACTTGCAATGYCTAACAAAAAAGGGTGTGCAGTGTCTCCCTGCAGGTCCTCTATAGGCTGGCAATAACACTGTTATTGTGAAGAACAGTGTTAATAAAGACCTTCATGGCCTGCCTGCATTAAAACTCACTCCACAGGAACTAATTTTATGCAGTTACCTTCGGGGAAAATAGCACCAACATGGSCAAACAGCACTGAAATAAATCAAATTGCTTGGAGGACGACATGAAAGTAAAACAGGTAAGTGAAGCTTGGTGTAGAAGAGAGGTGGTATCAAGCACTCAATTCTGAAAACTCACCCCACAGGGGATTTCAAGGCCATTTGTAGGATTTCATTCTGGCAAATGGGACAGGACAACTCATTTATTTCCTTCAGGCTGTGCCAGTCTAGTTGGGGTGACTGCCTTCTCCCAGCAGCGAAGGTTGCGGTGGTCATGACTCTGCTTTTCCTTTTTGCTTGCAGGAAAATATCCCTTTCCCTCCCCACCTCCCCTCAAGAGTTCTGCCATCAGCTGCATGTGCAGCCACATCTGAGCAACCTCCATACTCCTTCCAGATGCAGGAGATGGGGAAAATGCATCTATTGTTCAGTCTGGCTTCCAGGATCTGGGTGGCTGCTGGGGAATGGCCTCCTGCTGTCCTGTAGCCATGAGGAGAGGGGCCAGCGGTTCCTGCCCCCGGCTCCAAGCACAGGAGCAGCAGTAGCCWGCCAGGGAGCAGTGGAAGCAGCTACTGGATAGGACCAAAAGGCAGATTTATTTGCAGGAAAGGAGCGCGAGGCGCCTGTGATGGGGCTGAGGCTGGTGGGCATTTTCATATGCCACCCCCACAAGCAGGAGTGCGCTGGCGTCCTGCAGACACACGGAGCCATCTCCACAAAGGAGCAGCCCTGCGGAGCCACAGGCCGGATACAGCCCGCTCATCTGGATGATGGCCTGTGCTGCAGCTCACATCCACCTCCAGCCCCCTCTGCAAGCCACCTCAGTTCAGGCCAGCAAGGGGAAAACACTTCACCATCTGYTGGTCTTCAGACTCTGACTCATTATTTTTATTGCAGCTGTCGCCAAGCAATAGTGAAAATCCCAACACAGCAGCATATCCTCTGCTGCAAGATGTCTTGTCCACAGCCACCAGAGAATGAGCAGCTCAGCCTCAGTTCATCGCAGCGTGCAATGCCGGAAAGGATCCACAAGGATCATCGAGTCCAGCTCTTAAGGAAATAGCCTGTATGGTGATCAAATCCACAACCTCAGTGTTATTAGCACCATGCTCTAACCAACTGAGCTCATCTCAGGGCCATGAATAAAGAAGCAGGAAGGAGGAAAAGRGTTGTAAAAGCCACCTTGGTCATCAATATACACAGCATCCAGGCAAAAAGTGAGAACTTGTAGCCTCTGGAAATGGGGAAATGGGGCTTGTCCCTCAAGGAATCCACRGGTGACACAGGCAGTGGAGGTGGTGTTGCTCTCTGGTGCCCCTCTGAGCCCCTGATCTAACACAGAACCAGGGTCCAAAACAAGGCAGTGCCATTGTTTGCACCAGTCTATGTACCAAGCCTGTCTCTAGCCTTACAGAAATGGGACATGCTGCTTATTGCACATCCTTTTTTTTGGTCTGCTCCTTACTACGCTCACACTCTCCTGCTGTGTCCCCAACACCCTAGACAATGTTACACAGCACTGGTAGCCTTTACCCAGGTTTAGTCTTCCTTTTTTTGCCTGTTTACTGCCTTCCTTCCCTCCACTCCTGCTTCCTTACTACAAGATTCATGTTTTCCTTTCCTCCCTCCATCTGGATACCCATTTGAATTCCTATGACCGTACATATGTGTACACATAAAAAAAATTAGGATCACCAAATGGGGAAACACCTCCAGAGCTGTTCTAAAACTACAGCATGACTCCAGCTAGACAGAAGACATTTTGCAATAACCTCATCACTGCTGCCAAGTGTATTCCGAACGCAGACCTTGTGTCATAAATTACTGTAATTAGTAACACTCCAGCAGGCAAAAATATGTGTTTAAAAAAYGGAGGATGCATGTGAAGTGGCTGCAGTTTATATTATGTGAGTCACGAGAGGCCCATGGTGAAGGGAGAGCCGGTGAAGCCTCCACAGCCACAAACTTTGTGGGCACAGCCCCCTGGCACAGCAAACCCTTCTTCCAAAACACAAGGAAAACACGATGAATAGAGGCCTCTTGGGAAATGGGTTTGTGCCGAAAATTTGAACTTTTTGCTGAAATAAGGGGAAAAAACCAATCGAGCCTCTTTGGCCAGCACCAATAAAACATTTTCAGACACAGCATCACTTCTTGACACACGCGCAAAAAATGTTCTTCTGGGGCGGAAAATGGAAATTTTTATTTGGGTGGAGAGTGGTTTTATGCCTCAAGTGACTTGGGGTTTTCTGGTTTGAGAATCAACACGTAAGTATAAAAAAAAAAAAAAAGGAACAAAACAAACCAAACAAAAAACTTCGGATGTGTTCGTGGTGGCCAAGCCCTGCTTTTCCGATTTTTCCGATGAGAACAAAAGCTGTGAGCTGGGTTATTTYCCAGACTGTTGACTGCGGAGGGAGAGGCGATCTCCGCACCCAGCCCTGCACCGACCCCCCCCCCACGGCCCCTCACAGGCTGCGAAATGTCGGCGCCGCGGTGCACCCTGGGAGCTGTAGTCCCGCCGCTCAGCCCCGCTTCGCCCCGCGCTCCGGCACGCAAAATGTCCCCCGCCGAGGGAAGGCGGCCGCCTACAACTCCCAGGAGGCCCGAGAGAGGCGAGGGGCGGCAGGAGGTGCCCGTCCCTTCCGCGCCGCTCTGCCCGCCGGGAGTTGTGGTCCCGCCGCCCCTGTGGCCGGCCCATGGAGGCTGCCAAGGACTCGGTGTCCCGGCGTGCCGCGGGCTGTGGGCGGAGTGCTGGAGGCGGGAAGGCGGGTGAGGCGTGCGGCTGCTGTGCAAGGTGTCGGGGCCGGGGAGTGTCGGGGTACGGGACKCTCCTCTAACATTTCCTCCCCCTCCGTTCCCTTCCCCGGCGACCGGCGCTGTGCGGGTGCTGAGGCCAGCGAGGGGCGCGTGTGGTGCGGGCGGTTCGCAGCCAGCAGCATCCCGGCCTGGGGAGGGTGCTGGGCCCGGGGCAGACGGGCGGCACAGCGGGGGCTGCACCGTGACCTTCCCCCGGCGGGGAGGCCGCTGTTCCCTTCCCAATTCCTCGGCGCGGGGGAGCGCTGTCCCGGGGACTCTGTGGGCTTTGCTGCCGTGCTCTCTGTGCCATGAGAGCAGSCCCGTGGCTGTGGTTTGGGGTGACTGAGGTCTCCGTCCTCCTCACAGGAGGCAGCAGGAAGACGCACAGAACCTGTTCGATCAACACAAGGATGGACGAGCCCACTGGGGACCTTCCCCTCCGGACAGACGTCATTCTTTCCGAGTCGTGCTGTGATCATGTCACCATAACAAACCTGTGAGTGCGTCTGGTGTGCTGTAAAGGCCAGCATGTTTGGCTACTGACGTTTTTAGGGCTAAAACATCTCCTTAGGAGCAGAATTTCTCCTTTCTTTCACTCAGGGTGTAAGTGCCCTCAGACAAGAGATGCCCGTAATGARCACTTTTATTGCCATCTGAAAATAACCGTTTGATTATGCAGTTCAAGGCCTCTTCTGAGTTGTAGTCATTATTCTTCCTGTGTTCCAAAACTAAGCAGAAGACTATCATTTTGAGAAGATTATTTCCCACTAGGGGTTACATGGAGGGCAGTGTTTTCAAAAGCASTTGTCAGATCCTTTTTGTCAAAGACAGCCAGACTTGACGTGGAACACAGCACTCTGTGTGTTGGATTCCTCAGAAGTTTCTCTCTTTTATACTAAGTGAAAATCTGGCCCTAACTCTGAACACAGCCTTTCTTTGAAAATGGAGCTCTGTGCTACCCATGGTCTTAATACTTAGCAGCCTTTAGTATTGGTAATGCATAACTATTATTTTTATCTCTTTTTAGCTCAATTTGATACTGTTTATTTAGTATTGGCTTTCTGCACGTGCAAATTATAGCTTGAATTTTTTTAAAACCTCTCTTCCGTTCTACAGGATGAAGTTGGCAGTGTGAATGTAGAGACTGGGTAAATATAGTGGTGCCTGCCTTATTAGGCTCTGTTGTTCTTCTGCCAAAAATTCAATAATATCTGCTGACTTTTATACACCATGAGTTTGTGTCACATTTAGAACCCAGTTCTGCAGTTTTGGATGATTCAGGGGGAAGGAATTATTTTTAAAACTACATTTCCAGTATCATGATGGAAATGTTTGTTTTCTAGGGTGGAAGTGCTGAGATCTTTGGTGGCTTTAACTGACCCTCAGGAGGGGAAGCTGACTCAGTCTCAAGAGAAAGTGAGTGACTAACAGACTTTCCATGTCTGTTTACTGCATCGGTTCAGAAGAGCCTAAAATTAGGTAGTCAAGCTTCTTCAAACAATATATTATAACTGTTTCCATAATTCACGTGAGTTGAACCAAAATGTGTGTTTGCAAGCTCTGTTTCCAGTTGCCCAGTAASTGGTCGTGTGGTCATTGACCATCTGAGTTCAGCAAGGTTCCCATCAAGGAGGTGGCAGTGTCCAGTATTCCATCTGCTCCTGGAAGTCAGGCTTCAAACCACGCTGTCATTTACCCACTTAAGGGCCAGCTCTTGCAGGCCCGTGTTTGCAGCCTCCCCTCGTTTCCATGTGCAAGCATGGCATTAGTTTTCTTAATCCAGTGGGACTGATTTCTTCAGCTGGCTCATTTTCTGATTTCTGGAATCTAGTAATGACATGAGAGCTTAAAGCCAAAGGAAGGAGTGGAGCTTGTACTTTATGCTACATTAAAGCAGACTTGAAACTGAGGTCCTGATGTTTTTGTGGGTTTTCTGACACTGACCTGGATCAGTGATAGTGTCCTTTATAACAGGCTGAACGTGACGGCTGTTGGGACAGCAGGTACAGGGCTAATGCCATAAAGGATTGTAGTGGCCAAATCAAAGTGTGAGGAATTKGATGTGTTTTTGTGGATTTTTAAAGTATGAATAAACACAGGGTATAATAATCAGGAGTCATTGCTGTCTCTTGAAAGATGTATAAGACAGTTTGGGGGGAATTCAGATTTACACTAGAGCTTTATGTTCATCTTTTAGTAATTGGACCTGCTGTAACCTGTAATGAAGTTTGGTGTGCAGCACTATTTTSAATTACTTCATATTCTTGTATTCAGTCTCATGTAAATCTTTAATTTTAACGTGCATTGATTCCTTAAATAATGTTTTCATTTGAAGCAAAATTGCTTGGGAATCMCAAAAGCCCAGCTAACTGTCATATTGAAGTTATAATTATTTTGCATGACACAGAGTGATGGTCTCATACTTGGCTCTCGTTTCACAGTTAAGTTTTTATGCTCCTTTATATTCTAGGCACTAAACTTGCTGGGCGTTTGGAAAACTGAATTTACAGCTGTTCCTGGGTCTACATCAAAAACCTCAGTGGAGTGACAGCTCGAAGATGGGAGACCAGGAGGCAGGTGAACCCTTTTTGGGGATAGTGGCTGATGGTGCCAGAGACTACGAAGGAGTTCTGCCCTCAGACACRGTGTCACTCAGCGATTCTGACTCTGATGATTTGGGGTTGCCAGGGGAAGCAGAAGTTGATACAATATCTCCCGAGGAGCCATCTGTAGATGAAGGGGATTTCAGAACAGGWGAGACCCCCAGCTCTTCAAACAGTGGTCACAGATCTCCTGTGCAGCCATTCCATCTGAGGGGCATGAGTTCTACATTCTTTCTCCGTAGCCAGAGCATTTTTTATTGCTTGGAAGAGGCAGCCAAGTTGTCTGTGCCCTCRATGCCTGAAGATAATGTTGTTGATGGGAGGTTTAAGCGTCCATTGCCCCCAGCCACAGTTTCAGGTAACGTGATCCCAGAAAACATGGGAAAGCAAGCCAGACCAGTGCAGGCTGCCAAAAGCTCTCCTGCAGTGCCTGACTATGTGGCACACCCAGAGCGCTGGACCAAATACAGCCTGGAGGGAGTTTCAGAGTCCAGTGACAAGACTAACAGGGCAGTGGCCATGGAATTTCTAGGTGGTTTGAAGAAAAGAGGGGAACAACAAAGCTCCGCTTCCCAAGATAGCTACACCCCATCCTTCAACCAGGACCCTTCCAGCTGYGGAGCTGGGAGAATTGTCTTCACCAAACCAGCTAAAAGAGGTTCTGATGGAGTAGAGAAGAAAACATCAACAGGGGAGGTTGGTAAGAAACAGATGAAGACAGATCTGAAAGGAAAATCTCTTAAGAAGACCGATGACTTGAGGGAAGAAGATAAGGTTGAGTTGGGGCACTTGGACAGTGACAGTGGAAAGGCAGCAGAGGAGGAGGAGTGCATGATGGAGGGGGACCAGAACACACAAGATAAACTTAATGCTAGGCTTAGTGGTGCAGGTGAGGAGCCATCACTGGGAGCAGTGGGATTCCACTGCAGTAAGAAGAAGAGCAGGAAAAATTTCCGACCTAAAGTGGATGATGAAGGGGAGGAAGAATCCTGAAGGATGAAGCATATTTGAGATATCCAAGGATTTGTCTTGTTCATTTTTTTTTCTCCTTTTTTTTGTGGTGTGAAAACCATGTGATAGCTTTTTGTCCAACTATGTGCGTCATAGCCACCAAGAACATTTTATATTGTTAGAAATTAAGCTACTAAAATAAACTCCAGACTTTTTGTTTATGAGAAATCCATGGGCATAGGATAGTTGCATCCTGCCAAGAAAGAATAAGGTGTGCTTTGTTTGCATCAGCTGCTCACTGGGTCTTGCTCAGAAGCTGAAGCATCCAAAGAGACAGAAGTGTTAGATAAAAGGCTGCAGGCCTTCCTAGTAACTTCCACTTTTGGAGCAGTTCCCAAATCCTGTGGAATCCTGGAGAAAAGGTGATGAGCTCATTATGTAGAGATTTTTAAACAATGGAAATAAAGCCTAGTCTTCCACTAGATGTGATTTCTCCTGGCCCTGTCACAGGGAGGACAACCCTTTAAAATTTTTGTTTAAAAACATCCCACTTTTGTTGCTATTGAGGGTGAAAGCACAACAGTGCCCCATTTTATGTGATGATCCTTGCACCTTTGTATGTCATTTGCAGGAGGTGCTTCTTCCATACTGATTCTGTGTGTCGATTGGGGTGTTTGTGGGAATGAGATATTTATACCACAACTGGATACTCTTTTGTTCTATGTGATGCAATAAAGTTTTGGTTGTAACTTGATTTCATCTCTGAAAGATGTTGACTAATGCAGCTGAAGGAGTTTTAACATATACTTTGTTTGATTTAAAAATTCTTGAAAATCTTTTAGGGTCTTACTCTAAGTTTACTATCTTGTTAACTTTTCCCTCAAGTCTTACAGATTATAAACCTCACACTTCTAACATTTTCAGTCATTTTACAGTATATAATCCCCTCATAGGATGAGTCATACAATGAATCACATTGTAAGGAATGTGAAATACAGTAAGTCTTTTTCACAATTTTAGTAAATTTAATAAGTAGGGTTGAAAGATTAAATTCTTTGAAAGGTTAAATTATTTGAAACTCAAATTAGTTCAGGTCAGTTTGAACTGACTTTTTTTTTTTTTTGGCCTTCTAAATTAACCAGTCCCAAGGGTAGTATTTRTAACTGTGTAGTGAAAGATTAATTCTTAAATATTTCTGACATTTASCTTGCTCAAACTTGGAAGGGTATTTGAGGGTGTGACGTCCTCTGGAGGGTCCATCTTAACCATAATTGACTGGTAGGCCAGGGCTTTGTGTTTGAACAGATGCATCATTTGGCAGAAGAAGCAGAWAATGTAAAAGGAGCAGTTGTGCTCCATCTTTTGAAATTCACCTTTTAATTTTAAGAGCAGAATGTGTTTTCTTGTAAGTGTGCAGTTGCATGCACGTTAACTAATGGTTTATTGGAAAACACATTRGTTGTTCCAGTACATGTGAGTGGGACATAGCAAGTCCAAATGAAAAGGTTTTGGGTTCTAGTGGATAACTGTACCCAAGAACCTGAGAATTTGGGTTCGCAATGGAAATARTAGCCATTTCAAAGTGGAAGCTGCTGAGAAGAGCAGAGTGTGCTGGTTGTGAGATGTCTGTTATTTTTAAACAAAAAAAAAAATGCAGCTCAATACAAACTTATTGGGTTTATAACTTCTGCTTGCCCAGGGTGAGGAACAGGTAGGACCACCACAATTCCATCACAGCTAATGGAGTCACGGGCCTAGGATACAACTGAGTAAAATGGACAAATGCCTTCTTTATGAAGCCCTCATAACAAGATTAGTATCTATTAATAAAAGGCTCATTTTTGTCAGAGCTGAGATTTATTTTTTTTTTCCACCTATGGTAACAGAAAGCTTTTGTGCAATCTACAATCACATTGCATAGAGACAATATTATATGTGTGAGGAAATGCAGTTGAAGCTTATCAGTGTAAGACACAGCCCAATACTTCCCCCTTCTGATGCTGTTTATATTATTCCAGAGAAATTTCCCCTCAGAGGATGGTATTGGTATTTTAGTGSTGTATCTTTTCTTGCAAAATTCTAATAAAGCCAGCAAGCTTTTGCATGCTAAAAATGTTCAAGCCARTTTAAGTAATGGAAAAATCCACAAACAGCCCAGATTCCTAGTTTGCAAGACAATTCTTGGTACACATTCTTGTTTTAAAGTCTCTTAAGTGATTWTTTTTCTCCCACAGACCTTTCAGAAAGAAAAGTTAMATTAAATCAGATGCCTAGGTGTGGAGGAGGCATTGGTTGTGGTATGCTACATGGAGGCAAACTGGCAGCAACTGTGACGGGGCATGGGCACAGCAAAAGGCAGGGGATTGCACTTTGGGGTTGAGTGAGGAGCTTAAGAAAGAATAAMAATAATAATAACAACAGCAAAGGAATACCTCACAGGAGCGGTGTGGGAAGAGAAGCTGGTGACTGCAATTGTTTGAGAGTTTTAAGAACTCCAGGAACTGTATGGATTGTAGTGGCTCTGTATTCAGGCCCTTTCCTGTGGAAACTATTTCTTGATTTCCTTTCTAAGCAGCTCAGGAGTACAAGCTTGATTTCTTGGCCAAGGAAGGAGCTTGGTTTTTAAGTGCGTAAATGATCACCCTTCCAAAGGGAGACTCCCTTGAACAGAGAATTGTGGAATTTGGCAGTGAGGATGGTGGATTGAGGGTGTGGTATCTGGAGAACAAATCATATTTAGAAAATAAGGTGGTAGAGTCACCCTGAAAGAGAAAGCTTTTAATGGTGTTTGTGGAATGGGTTTGAGAAACCATCAAGTGCTATAGGAGCAGCAGGAAAGAAAGCCCAAGAAATTGAAGGAGAAAGACCAAGAAATCCTCAGCACTGATGGTACTTAGCATGAAGAGAGAGCTTGCCCTTAGGTTTTAATGAGACTAGGATTTTACTTCTACCGCAATTCAGTAGGACAAAAGGTTTAATGTGAAGAAAGAGAATAAAATTTTAATTATCAATGTATCCGATGTCAGTGTCAAATGGATCTGCACGGTCTTCTCTTTCACTTCTCTTTGGCAAAGGTGCTTCTGTGGTGGCATTCTTCACACCTAATAGGATTGTAAAACTAATGTGCTCATTTAAAAGCCTTAGGACAAGAGGCACATTGTAGTAATAGCTTTAAAAATTKGAAAATGCTGAAAAAAGAGACGCTGTAGATTGTATTACTTTGCATTTGCTCAGTAAATGATAAACAGTTATATTTTTCACCTATTTAAATGTCTGATTTTTATGCAGTTACAGTATTAAAATGTTTGGGGAGCCTGCTAYTGGATGGGCTTTCTTATTGGAATACTGGTAATGAAGCAACTCAAAAATGCTTTGTAAACTTCTGACAGAATTAAGTAAAGGTTGAGGTTAGCTCAAATCTGAGTGACATGAGATTTTGTCTTGTCATGACTTTGTTGAGTTTTCCAACTATTTCTTTTTTCCATTTTGTATATATATGCTCAGTTTGTGGGTTTTGGAGGGTATTTTGTGTACTAGGTAGCAATAGGTAAATATTGAGATAGGTCATTAAGAAAGATRTCCAGAATCTATTGTCTTGGATGTCCTGCAGTGGCTGAGAAATGGTTTGTTCCTGTCTCTAATGTTTTAAACTCCAAACAGTGGAGCCCTGAGACATAGGGGAAGATGCTTAACTGACAGAAATAGCTGCAGCTCTGAAAGCTGATGGATTTTGTTGATTAATACAGAGTAGGAGACTTGCTCAAAATTGATTTTTAATGATTCTTGTTATGCATTTTAAATATTTTGTTAATACTTCAGTAGGACTATCTCACAGACTCACTGTGAGAGCCACTCCTCTGTGGCAAATAGATACTTGTTGACGTGCTTCACTTAGGTGAGATTATTCTACAGTCCTTGCCCCAAAGCTTTTAAGTGTATTTTGCAAAAGGTAATTTTTTCATTCTGAAGAATATTCTGTTCCTTATTTATATTCCTCTAGTTATCTTCTTATGTAGATTGCCAATCTCTTTTTTTTCACCTTGCATTTTTGTAACTACCTTGTTGAATTGTATAAATTACCTTTTCCATGATTGTTTTCAATACTTACATATATAGTTTGGAGCTGGTTGAGTGCACAAGAGGTTGGTTTTGGTAAAAACCTCTGCCACGGAGGAGATAACAGCTGTACAGTAGCAAATCTACAAAATAGGTAGTGATTAAACATCTGCCCTATGTGAGTATATTGTGCATTACCTCAAGCTGACACAAATTTACTAAAGCATTCCTTGTGTGTGTCTGTTGGACCTGTGTAGCTTGACTGTTTTCAGGAAGCCATAAAATGGATAAGAAGGAGGCAGGAAACTGTAGCAGGAGTATTAAGATAAAGAAATTCAGCAAGACCAAAATTATACTGGGGAGTCCTAGAGATAAAGAAAACAATAAGAGTTTGCTACGTAGCAGGTGGTAAAGCATTTTCAGACTGTGTAACTACTGTTGTTTGTTTATATTTCAAGGGTTTGTCATCAAAAGCCCAAGACAGAGTTTCCTGCTATTATTTGGATTTCATAATTGTATGCTAGAGACTTCCCTTTGAGATGTTGGTACCTGGCATCTTAAGAAAATTAGAAAAACTGATGTACAAGAAGGGTAGGTCAGATCAGATAGMGTTGAGTATTTTCCAACATGACAGTTTAAAAAAAAGAAAAATTAGGAGAAGGACAAGAATGSAAGGGGGGGAGATGAGGCGTTTCGTTCCAGAAGCATCCTTAACTGAGGAAGTAAACACTTCTCAAGCAGACTAGCAAAGAGCAAGAAATGTTGTATTCCCTTTTCTCCTTTCTACAGGAGTTCAGAAATGTTTCTTTACATATGTATATCACCAGACAGCAATAAGGAAAGTGAAAGCGTAATACAAATCCCTTTTTCTTTCCTTTTATCCCTATGTAGGGTCTGTTAAACCACCATTAAATGAGAGAAATGCGGTGAAATCCTAAAGCTGATATAAGTGCCTAGAAAATATTACTTACCTGGGCTTCCAGAGCTTTGAACCGTTTTTCTTGTTCTTTCAATCCACTAAAATACTTGGACAAATTATCCACCCTGTGGAAACAAAGCGAACACCTTGAGCAAARAGGAGAGGCCTCAGAAGAAATTGTAAAACACAAAATCCTATATAACTTTACTACAGCCGTGGCTTCTCACTGCAGTTCTTTGCTGCTCAGACATCCCACAGCCCCCTAAAAGTTTTGTCCTTTGGAGGTGTTCCCAGAAGTATTTTTTKGACAGAGCAGCATCTCTGGAACACTCTCATGCACCTGTTGAGAGTGAGTCCTTTGACTCACAAAGGACAGATCAAGGCCACCATTCAACTCCTMGTGAAGWAACYTTCACACCCATTGTGCTCCTATTTGAAAACTGTTTTATTGTAAGAGGAAACAGCTGGAACRGGTGTTAAAAGCTTCTTTAACCAGTGCTTTACTGTCTTAGATGTTTCAGTTCTCCCTGCATGTAACTACTTTGTGTCTCACTTAAAGGCTTAAACCTCTGAATAATAATTTAGGATTTATTCTTTAGCAGACTAAATCAATTTAAGTGACATTCCTAGTAGGGAGATGAGAAGTACACAAATGGAGACTCAGTCCCATGCCATAAAGTCATAAGTATTTGTTCTTCTGCATCTGTGGCTAGTTCAGGGTATCTTAAACTTCCATTCAATAGAYGGTGTTGTACTCCTACAGGAAATCAAATTATATGTGCTGTAGTATAGCAAACAAACTGGTTTTCCACTGTTTACTTCATGAATAAGATTTTCATTGAGCTCGGCCATAGATTTGGCTAGAACTTGCAGGTCTATTATTGTACGTATGTCAAGAAGTATGTACAAAACACAAAAACTCCTAACACTGTAGTGATGCTGGCCTCTCATATTTTTTCATGGACTATGTATTTCCTAACTGCATTCCATATGGATCCTTTATATAAGATTTACAGGCACTGCAATGCTGAATTCATTGAAAGCTTAAGACTTGCAAGTTACTCTTACTGTGGGTCAGAATAACATACTTATTAGATGTGGCCTTCAGCCTTTCTTCATTGCTTTCTTTCTTTTCTTGCTCAAGGTTTATGAGATAATGTTCTTTTTGCACCGACTCCCATGTTATGATTTTTTGATCTAGGCCCACTGGAAGATCTCTTTCTGTAGGAAAAATGAGAATKATATTTTACCCCCTTTTTCTGATACTACTAGTGAAACACTGATRTGCTAAAAGAAGGTTGTTTTAGGGTTAATAATTGCTAAAATTTGGGAGCAAATGAAATAACTTTGTTAAACYTATCAGTTGTTAAATCTTCAGAAATCAAATCCCTTTAACCCATTTTATATTGCCACCTTTGTTGCAGTAACTATGATGCGTCAAGAAATGCACTGTGAGAAACCATTTATGGYATACAATATAAACTTTAATTTTTCATTTGTACCCTCCTGGCACTCTTCGTTAAAAATAAATTGTGACTCTTGGCTTAAGGAAATGCCGCTTGCTCTTCTGTTTTGTGAATTCACCGTGTCCTAGGAGAGAGTCAGGCTCTGCAGTTGCTACATCACATTTGTTAACAACTCACCCAGGTGTTTTTTCTTGTGCTCCATTTTGTTGAAGAGTCTTCTGAGAACCAGAGTTATGTGGTTGATAATGATAAATGGTGGTGCTAAGGCAGGCCGGCTGTGATATTCCACAATCAAGTTGTAGCGCTGCACTTTCCAGAAGATGTCTGTATTGCCCTGGACAACTTGAAAAGTGTAACTGTAATGGGGAGGGAATAAAATTATGTAACTCTCTTCACCASAGCAAGCTAAAGATGAATATTACAACATTTAGTCCTGTATTTATTTTTAAAAGGGAGCAGCAAGCTCAGCAAGCAGTGTTAAATTAATCTAAGGTTGTGCAAATTCTTAGATATTACAATAATTACAGTTGCAGTCTTCAAATTTTAAAAGATACATTTGTTTTGTTTTGTTTKGKKTKKGTTTTTTTTTTTACAGAAAGGTAATTCTACTTTGCTCAGAGAAGATCAGCAAGCATGCTACATCAGTTCTTCAAGCAAATGAATCATTATTAGCTGTGTTGTCAACAAGCATTTCCCTGATGTGCAGATCATACACAAAGTCTGCCAAGTTTATGGCTGCTGTGCACCTGCAGATTTGTGATGCAGCACAGCCAGGGACCCAGACACTTCTCTGCATATTTAATTGAAATTTTAGCAGTAAAAGAGGCTTTTTTTCTCCTTCTCTCCAATGTGACTAGATTAAGGATGATGAGAGCTTAAGAGCTATACGATCACGGAGTTCTGCCTATCAATCTCCAAGTAATATTGATTAGGACAATTACAAGCATATTCCAGAATGAATAGCCAGCAG